TGGAGGGGGGGAGAGGGAAGATGGGGAAGGGTAGCCCGCCCTGTGCATAAAGCAGTGTGTCGCGGGATAAATCTCACACGTGTCACAATCAATTACACGAGGTCCCCCCCCCCCTTACCCCTCTCTTCTCTCACCGGACGAAGCTCCCGCGTCGTCTGCTGCTGCTATGGAGTACAGCGGTGCCTGTGCTGCTGCTCCGTTGGTGTTGGAAGACTTCTCTCTAGTATAGTGCACTCTCTGCTGCTGCGGTTGCTGCGCTAGCGGAGGCTGCTTAAGGTGAAAAAGTAATACTGACACCTGCGGTAGTATAGCTGTGCAAAAGCTTGTCGCCGTGAGATGGTGGCGGCGATAGGCGCCCTGCCCCGCCCCGCCCTGCCCCGCCTTGGCCCCGCCCCGGATAAACACACCGGACTATAATAATTGTTCCCCGGATCACGTCGCGCTGCTGGCTCCGAGGCGCCGCTGGCTGCCATTGTTGTGGCGTGAAGAGGCGTCGCGACGACGGCGACGCCGCTGCAGGGCTTCCTGGTCGTGCAGCGGCGTGCAGCAGTAAAGAAAGGGGGATGACAGCGCGGAACACGGGTCCTGCTCTGCACGGGGACCTGCAGGGCTCCCGAGGGGTGGACCACTTGGATATATCCCATGTAGACACTGGAAAAAATTCCAAAAATATTGGAAAAGTGATATTCCACAAATATTCCAGATATTCCAGTACACCATCTTGAATATTTGTGGAATATCTGGAATATTTGTGGAATATCTGGAATATTTTTGGAATATCTGGAATATTTTTGGAATATCTGGAATATTTTGTGTGCCACCGGTGTGCCACCGTGTACAGCAGTACGACAACAACCACCCCGCGGTGTCAATTGACTGTCAAGCGGCTGTCGAGAGAAAGCTCTCATCTTCATCATACGGCTGCAGTCGTTTACCTCAGTGCTTTCCTGGGGTGGAGCCGCCCTTTTTTTTCTGCCCCACGTCTGTCGTATTTATCCCTAAACTCGTTACGCTCATTGACGGACGGCGCTGTCGTAACTGGACTAGCGAGCGGGCCCGCCGCCGCCGCTCAGCGATCAGGGCGATTAGTCCATTTGGATCCTAATGAGTAGCTACCCGGTGCAGCGAGCGGGTGTGCCGCATCGACTCATCTGTGATGCAGGGCCCGTCGAGTTACGGTGATCTGTCGCGCCGCCATGCATTGAGCAAGTACCGATAGTTGGGTGGAACACCCCCTCCGTGGGGTCAGGTGGTTGTGCCGTTACCGCGTTCACCCGTGAGGTTTGGTTTGCCTCTCCACTGGAGGTCGCACAGGGTGGCCGCGGAGTAACCAATAACTTGTGCTCGATGGACCCTTGCCTATACTCGCAAGGGTCCATCATCCATAAAGCGGTGCATGGCAAAGCCATCCGTTTGGCTGCATGCGGTGCAGTAGCGTAACTACGAAATATTCCTGTGTATGTGGGTCACTCTTTAGAGATTGTAGACATGCGCAAACCCCCGGTCAACGCCAGTTCTGTAACCACACACAGAAAAGACGTTTCTGGTAGCAGGATATACTCTTGCGGATTCAGGAACAGAGCGTTGCGCCAAAGTTAACGTCCATGTTCTTTTATAAACTTTCCTTTGGGCCACCTTCGTGATGAATTCTGGTGTGAGCTCGTGTGCTCCTATAAGGAATGCACTCGCCGTGGTGGAGGCGGTCTCGTACCAATGGTTCTAATAGAGGAGGCAGTCCTCTCACCTACATCCAGAGGCCCAGATGAGTGCTGCCTGTCGTGGGAGCCTCCCCCTAAAGCAGGTCAGTAGGGAACTCCCTGGAGCAGGCGGTTTGCAGGCTCCAGGGGCGTAAGCCTGAGTGTTTTCCTTCCCACGTGGGGGCCGGGCCGAGCCCACCTGGCCCCCGAGGACCGGACGCTCGGAGTTATGACTGACAGGGAAAGAGAGCGAGCCAGACGGATGCGTTCTAATCGAAGTGAGCCCGAGCGTGGAGAATTTAGGAGGGGAATAAGGACATCGATTGATCGAAAGCGAAAATAATTGAACGAGTACGACAGGTACGCCCTGGGGTCGCCGCCGTCGTCGTCGTTCGCGGTATGGATGGGATCGAATTTTTGATTTACCTCCCACTTCGCGCGCGCGGGCGAATCCACGCCGCCGCCGCCGCCAGATAGAAAACAAAAGCGAATCCTTGGCCTGTTGCTCCACGCGGGTCGTGTCGATCGCGTTTAACGCACGAGGAATAATGGGCCACTTTTCCGATTCGGGGCCCCCTCCATCTAATTGCGCGCCCAGCCCCGCTCTTACTTCACAATGCACCACGCGTTGCGTCCGCTAATCTCTCTGTTTCCTCTATCGCGCCGGGCCTATTCGGATCGCGCCGAAGAATTGCAGGTTTTCTCTCGGCTCCGACACTCGATTTCGGGCTGGCGGCGCCGGGCGGGAGAGACCACCCAGGGATGCGGTGCGAAGCGTGAGGAATTAACATATAGGAGCCCCGGGATTGTCTCATATGCGTTCCCACTCCGGCTGTGGCGCAACTCCACGCCCACTCCGACTATCGGCCCTATTTTTATTTCGTTTCTTTCATTACAACTCTACGTTTCCCAACACCATCTCACTACGACCGGCCATATTCTCCTCTGCTTTCGTTTTTGCGCTTTGGTTGGTGTCTTTTTTCCTCTGTCGTGTTTCGTGAATCGATAGAGTGGTGGTGTCGCCGCGTGTCTGATGTGCATCGACGGAAAGGGTGTGATCAGTGATCAAGGCCGTCCCACGCAAAAAATGAAAATATAGATGTAACTGCCAAAACATTATCTTATGGGATAACTAATTATGTAGCCAACTTTTTAGTAGCTCAATACATCTTTAAAGATACAAACTTTGTCATGAAGGAGGTACAAGTTGTACCTAGGCTGGGTACAAATGTTTTATTTTGACCGTAACGTAGATACAAATTTGTATCTGATTAAGATGTGCGCAAAGACATATGTTACCTACGTAGAAAAACTTTTGCTCTCTTTGTGGTGTGCTGCTAACATGAACAGCTACCATTATTAGAGATATAGCTAAATAACTGTTAGTCATTCCAGATTTAGATATTGGTTTGGCTTCTGCAGCTAACATGTTTTTTTCAGTGCGTGCAAACTCTCGTGTCCGTTTCCCTCGAAAAGTTGAGAGACTAACGGCAGAGTGTGCGATGGCCTCCTCGCCGTTGTGCTCGCGACCTCGGCTGGCGGCGCGACCTGTGCTCCGGTTGCCCCGCGCCTCGAGCCGCCGCGGCCGCGCCCCCACCTCCTGGCCTCGGTGCCCCGTAGTGCCCCGCGGACAGCGAGGCTGCTGCTGCGGCTGCGGCTGCGGCTGCGGCTGCGGCTCGAGGCGCGCTGCTCGCGAGCGGCACACGCCCGCCACGAGTGGGCTGGTGCGCCTAGTCGCCGCCAGGGGGCGCCAGCGCCCGGATCACCTAGGACCAGCGCAACTCGCCGCGCGGCCCCGCGGGTCAGTTATAGGCTAGGCTAGGGGGCTCGTCGAGGGCTGCGCTGCTGCTGCGCGTTTCATTCATTACGATATCGTTTGTGATGCAACGCGACGCCAACCTCTGACACTACACTTCTTCTTAATCCCACGACTTTGCCGATACAATTCACAATCAGCTGCTGCTGCTGGCTGGAGCCGAGGAGGGTGCTAACGACCCGAGCTGCTGGCCGCTTATTGGCGTGGTGTGGCTTTGGCCCCGCACCCCCTACCACCCTGCTCCTATGCAATCGCGATGCATTTCGTGCAGCTGAAGTGTCAGTTCCTTACTCGAACGTTCTAGGCTCATTTTTATTATATATTTGTATTATAATCAGCTGTATTTCGAGTCGTTCAAATGCCATCCAAGCCGAGAATATAACTTCTGAAATTAGACAGCTGATAAAATGAGTACAAATACGAAAATGACGATCTACGGCCGTCATCCACCCTGTGCCCGCAAATGCTCCTCAAAAGCTCACTGTAAAAAAATAATCTTGGAATTCAAGCAGATTGCTTGAAAACTGCCTTGAAAACAAAGCAGATCGCTTGAAATCCAATATGTCATTTTTACCGTGCTCGATTTGTAACTCTTGACGCTTCGTATCTAGGGCAGGGGCGCTGCAATAATTGCAACGTGTATAATGATAATCCTGTCGGGATGACCCGGCCGGCCCGTCCAGCCGCCCGGATGACATTTCACCGCCTTATCTTTATGGCGATGTTAATTCGAGAACACAGCCCTCTCCCGAGGTGGCCGAAATGTCTCTTCTGGCTCTCTCGCGATGGGCTCGTGTGTATGTGTGTGTGTGAGTCCGTCCTTGTCGCTCGCTCAGGCCGTAGCACCAGCGGAGGGACCCGAGCCAGACGGGGCGGAATGACTGCTTGCAGAGTGTAACGCTGTACTGTAGTACGCCGCGCCGCCGCCCGACGGAAATCAGCTCAGCCCGGCGAAAATGTATTTTAGAGTACCGCAATGAATGATACTACTCTCGTAAAGCCGACTTTGTGGCACCGGGCGGGGTGTGGCTTGGCGTGGCGTGAGAGAAGCTTAATCTAACGTGAGCTGAGTAATGCGGTCCCCTGTTTGTTTGCGCAGTATAGTTTTTTTCGCGCACCTCTGCCAAAACTGGAGACGTTCCGAAACGTATCTGGGGGAAATTACTATAGAGCAGCTGAACCGGTTTCGGATCAGCCCCTAATTCGGATCAACTGTCTGTAGTTTCAATGCAGAACTAAAATTTAGGCACCTTATTTTTTTTACTGAAAGTACGGACCTTCCTTCTGTCTTTTAAATCTCTAACAATAAGCTGGGTGCGTAGAATGGAGTACAAGCCGATTATGAACTAAAAGAAGTATGTTTTAAAGGTTGGGAGAATCTTGATAAATTGACATTTTTTTCGCATTTTTTCAAACTGAAATATGAACATGATAACAATTTCCATGTGTCGGACTAGTGTGAAAACATTATTTTAGGGTACTCAGAGTAGCCTTTTATCGTATCGAATGATTTTTAATAGGTCTATTGGCAATTTTTGGCTGTAAACGTATTTTCGCTGATCCGAATTAGGTTCAGAAGTCCCTATTCCGGATCAAAAACACGTCGTTCGGCCAACTGTTATATCTCCGAAACGGGTGCAACTACATCCCTCAAAAAAATTGCGAATCGTAAAGGAAGAAGTCGACTATCATTACCTCCAGTCGTGGCGGTTCTACCACTCGCCTGTTACGGCACAGCGAGGAAAAACGAAAATCTGATCCGAAATAGGTTCAGTCGCTCTAGGTGTGCAGCAACACTAGATACTTCAACAGTATGTTAACGTGCTAATTTTCCTCGATCTATACTGAGGGTTACGTAAACCGTAGTGTATCCCTTTCCCCCTACAACTACGCACTTACCCGTGAAACAAGGCAAAGAAGCTGTGGAGTAATATCGAACTTCAATAATTAAGTGTGGTTTCTTTTTTCGTTTTTCAGAGTTTACGAGTCTCCACACCATGTCCACCCAATGCAGCAATACGTTCACGAGAGGTTCCAATCTCCGTAAGAACACAGGAGAGAAGCCCTTTGAGTGTACTGTATGCAACAAGAAATTCGCCCGCAGTTCCCGTCTCCATGACCATTTCCGAACGCACTCAGGAGAGAAGCCTTTTGAGTGTACTGTGTGCAACAAGAAATTCGCCAGCAGTTCCAATCTCCATGACCATCTCAGAACGCACACAGGTGAGAAGCCTTTTGAGTGTACTGTGTGCAACAAGAAATTCGCCTACAGTTCCCATCTCCATGGCCATCTCCGAACGCACACAGGAGAGAAGCCTTTTGAGTGTACTGTGTGCAACAAGAAATTCGCC